AGCAGCTGCTTGATTCAGGCGGCAATTGTGTAAGTTTCAAACTTCCGAGGATTCGCACATTTGATGTTCTACATGCCTTGGCTAATATTATGCAAATTTTGCACAAAGACAAAACTTGATACACAAGTTGGCTCAAAGACAAGATGTAGTTTTCTGTTCTCAAATCTTTATTCAGCTGAATGCAAACATTCAAAAGTCATGTATTTTTGGAAAAAAAACCGAGAATCAATTATTGATTTACATTTCAGAGATGGAGATAAAACAAAACTATTTATAAATGAAATGGATTACACCAACATCAGTAAACGTAAAGAAGATATTGAGAAGATCTTACAAGATTTGAATGATCACAGAAGTGAAATAAAATTGACACTTAAATCTTCTTCATTTGATTACGTAACTGTATCAGGCCAAGAGGTAGGTGTCTTATCTACATTCTTGCTTGTACTACGCCTATTCCATGCAATCATAATATGGATAACCCTATAAACACTCAAGATTTCTTTGGCTTTATCCGGAGTATAATGATACATATCATTCAAGTTGCACGGTTTTCGGCACTTAGAGTAAATGGAGTACAATCTGCATATGGATATCACCAGGGCGTGGGCATTGATATTCTGAGACCTCCACATTCAAGACTAAGTGGAGGATTGGCTTAATGAGCTGAGAGGTCCAGACAAGCCTATGTGGCCCTCGTTGGATCTTTACCCCTTGAATGTATTATTAAAAGATGTCTTCTTTCAAATTTAGAATCATTGCATTTACAACATAGCATGCAGCAAAAATGTATCTTGTGATGGAAATAAGACTGAATGCAAACGATCGCATAGGCACAAATCTCACTCACTTTTCCCACTAAATTATTACCCTCAAACTAGAAAAGATAATGGGCAGATGTATAATAATTGAGGCAGTGAACAGTTGCTAAATGTCAGTTGGAGCAATTACTACTGCATTTATTCATACAATGTCATATTCTCTTGTAGCCTAATATTCTCTAGGTCCCTAGACTTTGTATATGAAGGTGCCACTATCAAACCCACCAATGGAATATATACGTGACCTTTGATCAAATACTAAATTTCCAAGGTTTACAGCGATTTTGTGTTCGATATTATTAACTTTCAGTATTCATGTTTTGCTATTTCTCTACTGCACAAAACTGATATATTTGCTCTATTAGAAGTGTCTCCAATAGAAGCACTTTTGTTGTACAGTGAATCATTGAAATATAACTTATTTTGACCCTAGGAACACTTCTGTAATTTATGCAAGCGCATATCCTACACATAGAGCAAATACACTGTGCACTTAATCTGACTAACTGCTTATGATATCTTCCATTGTAGTTTCTGATAGAAGTTCGTAACGCTCACCTCAAACTTGTACCAAGTGATTGGATGAAAATTAGTTAGTAAGTATGGCTTTACTAAATACAGTTAGTAACACACCTTACAAAACGTAATGCCCTCTATTGGCTGAAGCATTTCGGTGGTAGACGACATTACAATAATAGCGCAGTGATGTTTGGTGAATTGCTTTTCTTTCCCACTATCCACTATCCACTGCAGCATTTCAATGCTTGATGGCGAGACATGACAAGTTGAATTGTTTTTCTGTAGTTTGATCCAGGAATCAATGAATTCTTAAAACATGTGGCAACAACAAACTGTTTATAAGCAAACCTCTCCTTTATACTATCCACAAATGTATGTATATATTTAATTTCTCACTAGTTGAAACCTTAGTGTTCTGAGCTTTTAGTTTAGTTTGTTGAAACACTTCCTCGGAAGGAATTAAAATGGTTACACTAACTACTAGAACACATATTTAAAACGTACAAATTCTAGAAAAATTACTATCTAAAGCACAACAAGTTTTTAAAAAAGCTACTATTGAAAAAACTGTCGATAATAAGGAAGAAAAGCAGTAACATTAGCAATAACTTTACATTATGGCACCCTGCTCTTGGGGTATCAATACCAAATCTACGTTATTGCTAGTCAAAGTATCCTTAAAGGGTCTTAATTTAATTAATTATTAGTCCCCGTTCGGACGAAGTCCGGAAACTGGGACTTATAATTTGGCATCCGTCCGCCCGTGCGTCCTTGGACCAATTCCGTTCATTCTTTGCATGTGCCTAGTACTTTATGTGGGACATATGCACACACAGTGGTTTAGCGATTACCGTAGATTAAAAATGGCCGACTGGCAGCCATCTTGTTTTTTGAAAATGTTGTATTTTGGACATGCTTTGTCAGTTTTCATTCAAATTTCGTACATAGATCATACATGTTAGGATACATGTCCCCGGCCGTCCGCGAGTTCCTGAGTCTGTCTGTCCGTCTGTCTGTGTGTTCGTCCGTCCGTCAGTCTGTCCAGAGTCATATTTCAGAATCCTGTGGACCGATTCCATTCATTCTTTGCATGTGCCTAGTACTTTATGTGGAACATATGCACATGCAGTGGTTTAGCGATTCGATTCAAAATGGCCGACTGGCAGCCATCTTGTTTTTTGAAAATGTTGTATTTTGGACATGCTTTGTCAGTTTTCATTCAAACTTGGTACATAGATTATACATGTTAGGATACATGTCCATGACGAATTATTTCGCAATTGGATCAAAAATAGTCGACTGGCAGGCATCTTTTTTTTTTTTTTTATGCGATATCTTGGACGTGCTCTGTCAGTTTTTATTCAAATTTGGCACATACATGTACTTTATACATGTTAGGATGCATGTCCATGACAATTTGTTTCAAAATCTGGTCAAGGATGGCCGATTAACAGCCATCTGACTTTTTGGCCTTACTACTATATTTCCTCAATTTATGTACCATTTTCATTCGTATTTGGCACATACATCATACCGTACATATCAGTGTGTTTCATAATCAGATCAAAGATGGCCGAATATTGGCTGTTTTTATTTTTGGCCATATTACTACTACACGAAACACGTGTTTTGATGTAAATAAACAATCTGTTGTATATGCCACTTGGAACTCAAGTTTCAAGGACACACTCGCGGCAACCCCCCCGCTTTAATATGACGAGCACAAAGAGAACTTTCAAAAAACAGGGACTGTGTCATTTTCAATGAATTGTTTGAACAGAGTTGTGCCCTAACTTTATGCATTAAATACAATACTCTAATTTTTATTTTTTTTATTTTTTCATTTCATTTTAACATTTAACTTTATTGTATCACGAACAATATCTCAATTAGGAATACGTTTATCAATAAAGATTATTATTATTATTATTACTATTACAAGTTGTTTACAATAATACTGTAGCACTGGGTGGTACTATTACATAATAACCTTGTCCATGGTTTTTTGATATTCTCACAAAAACTTGCTGTTCATTTCAGTACCAAAGCAGTGACAAGATTTCACAGTCCATATGTAATGCAATGTTATAAACATCTTTGTCAGCTACGAGAACAGTTACTACTAGACTGCAATGAAGCATGGTTATTATTTCTTGAGTGAGTATTCTGATGTTTACTGAAAGGGTTACATCTGTTGAGGATCAAAATTGTATCATTTTTTTTAGCCTTCGCAGAGGAAGTCTGCCGAAGGCTTATAGATTGGGTTCTGTTCGTCCGTTCGTCCGTCCGTTCTTCCGTCTTTTACCTCTTATAACTCTGATATGCTCTGTCCAATTTTTTTCAAAGTTGGTGCAAATGTAATTCTCAATGCCATACATATGCACGCCAAGTATTTTTTTGATTTGCCAAAGTTTCATTGTGTTTTGATACTGAAAGAATTTGATACTGAATTATTGAAATATCACCTACAATGTAGTTCTAGTTTGGATGAAGTTTGAATGACTTCCAGGTGTGTGTGTGTGTGTGTGTGTGGTAAATGCATCTTTGACATGCCTTGACAAATCACATTCAAACTTACATACATCATGATATACATATGCTCATCATTTTGTTTCATGATCCAATTCAAGATGGTCTAAAGGTGGTAATTTTTAGTCCCCGTTCAGACGTAGCCTGAAAGGCAACTAATTAATTCTTATTTTCTGGTTTCCTTCCGTCCACCCCTCTTTATGTCTCCGACATTTTCTTAGAAATTTTGTAGGAGATATCAATGTAACTTGGCAGGTTGATGAACAAGTCTATTTTGAATATGCACATAATTTTTTTTTCCCAGTTCTGAAAATCTTTTGTGGGTCTTTTTCAAGGTTTTCATCCAAAATTACCTCTCTCTCTTGCACTGTGAGAACAACTGAACATGCTCAGAATAAATAATTAGCTTAGATTGTAATGCTAGGATTTTTAGTGATGTAATGACCAGGTCATGACCTTGATCTGAATCAGTGACAGATGGGTCATACCATTACCAATCTCAGTAGGAAATGTAGAGGGCTACATTTTGATGGGAATTATAGTGGTGATACTGAAACAAACCCAGGTCCTGATAATATACAAAGATCTGAATTAACAAAGAAGTCAAGTTGTTATTAAAGGTACATTAAGGTTTACTCAGATTTATGAATGCAGTTTCTTGAGCATGTATGAGACATACTGGTAGTTTGGTTGCACTTTTGTACTCTGAGATTTTGGACCCAGGTCAATGAAAGTTTTCTGTTATCAGATTAAGAGAAATCACTTTATGATGAGTTGTACCCACATAGAGTACATATTAATTCAATTGTTTGCAGATGTTCCATGTATTATTTTAACATGAGTATTTTATAATTAAATAACGGGGACTGTGACATTCATGTCTTGTAATTTTAAAAATCAAAATCAAGCATCTCTGTCATTTTAAAACTGATTTTTGTCTTGCGTAAACAGATTTTATTCAAACTTGGTACAAACATTAACCATTACAGGACAACCTTGATGCATGTCAGTAAAATATGACCCTAGACAAAACTTTGTCATTTATTGAAACACATATGCCATACTAATAGAATAAATACGAGTAAATCCGTATGTTTTCAATTTCAGGTGCTTTAGCGATAACTATGCCAGTTACAGATCAGCTGTTCGACACTTGGCAACTCTCGATTGTCTGTATTCGTTAGCTGAAGTAGCAAAGCAAGAAGGTTATTGCAAGTAAGTTGAGAGATTTAATTGTAAGTTTTAAATTATTGTCTCACCACCTGGTGGCGAAAATTTAAAGCACCACAAGCATCACGTCACACTGCACGTGGTCAAATTTCATGTCATCAAACAGTGTATTTTTCATGTGTTGTATACGTTGCATGTGAACCATATTGATTATGTCACAGGCCAACGACTGTCATTTAAGCTGTCTGTTGTAACAGTCAAAATTAGAAATTCCTAAAACTTAAGCCATACCAGTATTTTTTGGTCACAGCAGTGCATATAAAGGTCACACTAAAATTACTAATAAATAACAGTATTTAATTAGATTTAATATTTTACGGTGTCAACAATCATTTTCAGCCAGTATATCCCAACGCTGTCAAATATAAATTACTGTAAAATATTTTATTTTAGATAGAATTAATTGTTGCTGAAAAGGTTTCTTAGGTGTTTTGTATGGAGTTCATTTTCACTGAATTTATTTAGTGAATGTAGGATAAAGGAAAAAAGGTATATTCATTGGATTTTATTTTCACTGAATCAGCGAAAAAAAATTCAAAGTGAAAAAATATTATAGTACAATATTCTTCATATTTCCTATAATCATTTGTCAAAATATTCACCCCTCATTGTCAAACTTTGATTTGTTTTGAAATAAACCTCCTCATTATAATTAATTATAATGCCAGACTTCACGTCTCTTACATCAGACAACGCACTGAATGTGGCATTCACAGTTTTCATGTTACGGAGTAAGCAATGATTGTCAACCATTCATGGTGCTGCTGTATGGGGGTCTAAAAACTAACTCTGTGACACGATTGTGTGACTCACCGAATGTTGATTATTGCAATCTGCGAAAGGGTCGCAGTGTCACTCTGCAAAGAGGACGATTCACATTGGTTGGTTGGTCGAAAAGCGTTAATCCCAATGGTTGATCGATGCCTTATAGAATCAAAGAAAGCTAAGAAAGAACTCCCGTGTGCTGAGAGTATTGAAGACACATTAAAAATTAATTAAAAATTACTTGTACTTGAGATACTAATGGAAAAGCTGAAAACTAATTATGCAAATCAGGTAACTAATATGAACAAGACCGTATGCGTGTGCATATGTCTGTGTATAAATACATGTGTTGGTTTCACTTGTAGTACTGTCCCACAGTTGCTCTGGAAAGAAAACGCAAACAAAATATTGGGTGAACCACCTGTTTCAATATATTTCAAGAAAGATGGAAAATAACATTCCCAAGTATTTTAGCTAGTTTTATTCAAATTATAAATAAATAAAATCAGCGCTCAGTACATTTTAGGTTGGAAAAATATTTGGCTTATTACTGTTCTTGACTATATGCATGGTGATATTTCCCTCTCGAAATTTATAACTACATGTATGTGAAACAGGATTTGTGTTAAAAATAGGGTAATGAAAACACCAAACATTCTTCATGTGAGTTTTTGTATCACAATGACTGAAACATTTGGTCTTCAAGACTAAGATTAGGCTAAATTAACTCTGATATAAAGTGATCAACATAGATGTTTTCACTACTAATAATAACTTGAAACTAAATGCATTGTCGGCTGCACCAATGTTGGCGACATGAAGTCTGGGTGTGTCTTGAATGTATCAAAAAAATCATTATTGTAGCAATCGCTGTACATTTACGAGCAATGCAGATAATAACTTACTGTAGTGTAACAACATTTACATAAACATTATCGTTCAAAGAATAACTCAAATGATAGTAAACAATTGTATATCACTTTCCAATTCCATCTTTGGAATATATATAATACAATAAAATTTCATTTTTTGTGTAAATATTGCGAGTGTGCAGTATCACAGTTCAAATATTTTCACAAAATTCTGACCAAGATTATTCATGTAAATGTATCATGTTTATTTCAAAATACCCACAATGCAACACAATTAGTGAAGAAGCAATGTATAATATTTAAGTACACTCAAATTCTGTGATTTCTACTCAAGGTCTTGGCATTTCAGCGAGCCATGTTTTTGTTAGTAACCTTAAAATTATTTCAATCCCTGAAAAACTATATACCGGCATTTAAAAATTTAACGTTATGTGATTTATAACATAAGGGCTTCCAACTTTAATATCTATGTTCAGTGAAATGAGATGAAGACATGAAAACAGCTTGGAATGAACGCTATGCAGGTTTTTTACAAAATCGCTCATTTTCATTACAATTTCGTTGACTTCTTCAATTTGCGTCAGATTTCCATTGCATATTGCACCACTTAAATCTGCTCATCTTGTATATCCTCGGCATTATAGATAATATATAACCCACAGATTAGACTGGCGCAGTCAGGCGATTATTTTGTTTTTGTAGTTTAAATAAAATAAAAAAGTTCGCGAAATGGAGATGTTATTGCAAAATCACCCTGATTGGTTTATTCTGCAGGAAATTCATTGCTATTAAATATTCATGAATGCACATATTATAATGAGGTGGGTGCGGAAATACATGCATAATGAGGTCAACATGGTAAAGGTCACACTGCAGACCCAACATGGCGGCACGTTGAACTTCGAGTTTGCTGTAGTCGTCGTTTCTAATTCATCACAATGTGTAAAAAAGTAACTCTTACTAGTCGTAGAATTAAAAAAAAAAAACGGCTGCTACAATCAGCCGACGTCTTCTCGGTCAGAGGTCAGTTGAAGAGACGTTGTGATTGGCTTAGATGATTGTCAATTAGAACACTCATTAACATAATTACCCGTTGAAAAATTGACGGGTTCCTGCAGTGTTGATAGAGGGCCATTCAGAATAAACCAGTCGGGGTGATTTCGCTGTTACATTTCGCAAAAACAAATTAATCGCCCCGACTGCGCCAGTCTACTCACAGATGTAAAATATATGTCAATTTTACAATGTTCACCACAAATCTTATTATCTAGTTATGATACAAGTGTTATTGAGTAAAAAAAAATCGATACGGGTGTAATGATTATTTTCAAACCTGATCTTTCTAATTGTCATTGATGTTTGCATGAAGCTTATGTTCAAAATGTTGTGTTATATGCTGTCATTATAGCAGCTAACTGAAAGAAATTATCACTAAGTGCAACTACAGTAATGTTATGGTTCCCTGCATTTATACTATTGGAAATGATGTGCGTATGCGTCACTTTGGCGCTGAATTTACTATGTACAAGGATCGAGTTTTTGATGTTATTGTCGATGTATACTATCACTGTGCCACACTCGTCACATGTCAGTGTTGTCAGTGCGACTGTGCTTGTTAAGTCCTTGTAAGGTTCAATGTCTAATGGAAAGATAATTACGCTGCCTTGTTTGGATGTTATCCAGCATTTTTTACTATCAGTTCTGTTCATGTTGAGTGCCCCGGTCAGTGCGACCGCTCTCCATCCTTCTGATGTCATCGGTAGTAAATATTTTCCCGTACCATGCTGCGGTAGTAATGACGACCAGCACTGAGCGTGGGTTAAGGCACTGTGATCAAACAGCGGCTGTGGAAGGGGAGTCGCGGGCAACTTCGTAAGTTGATCGTTTTCATCAATTTCCAGTATGTCTTCGAGAATGTCCAGGAGAAAATCTCTTATGAATAACTCCATCATTGTGTGAATCAGGCTACTTGGGTGATTTTGATCGTATGCAATATAATCGTATACCTCACCATTTTTTACTTGATCGCACACGGCTCCCTTCATGCTTAAAGATGGCACACCATAGTGCGAATTTAATTCCTTGCCTCCTGTGTCTTCGCTGTTAGCACAGGAACCTTCTCGCATTTGACGTCCAAAGATAAAATTGATAAACATCAACTGGGGTTGGTTCGGCAAAGAAAGAATAGTTCTTGTCAGGTCCTCTTGTGATGACGGCCCCAGACCTTTGTTGAAATCATTTGCCGCTAACTCCCACAGCAGCAAATCCATATTTTTAGCATCTAGGTGAGCCTCCAAACAGTATGCATAGTATTGACTGTCAGTTGCGCCAACAGCGCCATTGTAAACATTGACAGGACTCCCGAGTATTCTCTCCAGGGACTTCCCTAATTTATGTGCGTAGATGCACTCTTTACAAGACAACCCACCTCCGGCAGAAATGGATCCTCCTACAATTCCAATATTGAAAGGTCTGCTGTTATTCACAATATCTCTCAGTGTCCTCTCGAGGCTGTCTACATTGCCTTCATGAACTATGACCTCTTCTAGTATGTCATCGTCTAAATTTTGATCCTTATATGCCTGTCGTATCCGTTCTCGTTCATTGACCATGTTGAGCCTCATCGTCTCATGTTTAAGTCGTGCAGCACGTGCCTCTTCAAAATTTCCTTCTGAAGATGTTTGTATTAAACCTCGTTTGAGTACGCTTGCATCAGTTTTGGAGAGATTAGCGTACATAAAAAGCGGTACCAACCCGGTAAATATAAGCAGTCCAAAAGTTGTTAGTATGCAGCGCCGCTGAGTGGAAAATACTGCAATCTTGCTCAAGATGATTTTGTCGTATTCTGTTTTTAAAGAGAGAGGAAGAAAAAAAAATTAATTGGTCAAATAATATTTAATAAATTTATGGACAGCTTGTTTATTCAGGCTCCTAAAAACAGTTTTTTCAAATGGATTGAAACATGGTGTACAATTAATGTGTTTCAATGTATATTCAACGTCACCATATAAAGGGCAAGACTTAAATAATCGTTTGTTTATTGATTGTCAAGTATACATGACGGAATATGGAATTAGCTTCACACAGGAGCACTTTCTTGAATTTCCAGTTAGTTTCTAAATAACGGGAATATAATGGATAACCCAACCATCCAATGTCTGTTTGTCCATATTTGCATGCTTTCTTGCATGCGTCCACACCTGTATCTCCGACCTGCCTGAACCAATCACAATGCACACATACATCAAGCATCTTAGGCTACATATACACGTCCATTCACTTAATGACCTGCTGTACAGCAAGTCTCATTAAAGTATTTGGGCAGCCAGTTTGCAAACTCGCTAGCAA